CCTGATCTGCACTCTGGTGGCTGGCTCCTTAAACTGTGATCTGAGAATCAGCAGAATTAACATCACCTCAGAGCTGGTTGGAAATTCAGCCCCAACCTAGTTTCTGTGGTTTAACAAGATTCCAAGGTGATTCATATGCACTTTTGAGAAGCACTGCTGTAGACCATGCTTCCTTGGCCATCACAGAAGTTTAGAACAGAAAGGAACTTTAGCGGTAGGCCGATCTTCTTATTTCATAGACAGGCAAACTGAGGCCCAGAAAACTGAGCCACTCACCCTTGGTCACACAGCTAGCCCATGGCAGAGCTGAGATCAGATCCCGGACCTCCATTCCCTGGCCTGCGTTGTCTCCACGATGCCAGTTAGGACCAACGCCTAAACCCTTTCAATAGCTCTCCTCTCTACAAAGTTGATACCAACCTTTGAGGTGCTTGGGGTTAGGTGTAGGGGGGCTTTTGTGAAGCCTAAAAGGACTTGATTGTCTTGTTGGTCAAGAAATCTTTAAAAAATTATCTCAGAACACCACAAAGGATTACCATGTTTGCCCACTAATTTTTGCCTCCAAATTATTTTACAGCACAAGTGGCCATGGAGCTCCCACAGTTGTGGACTCCAGCGGCCAGCAAGCTGTAGCCGAGTTCTCCAAAATGACGGCAGCAGTTGACGTGGTCTCCCCAAAGACATCTGGGGATTGATGCTGAACCAGTTCCAAAGGAGTCTTTAGAATTAAGCAGCCAAGTGCAAAAGGGTGACACAGAGGATTTGCGCAGCTGAGGTCATGAGCAGGTCGGGACAGGGTTTGAGGCAGCTGAGTTCAGAATACAGACACCTATTACAGCCCTTGCTAGATTTTTGCCCTAGTCCTTGGGAAAAAGACAAAAACAAATTCCCTCAGGTATTCTCCCAGGCTCAGCTTAAGCGAGTTCCCGAATGGCTCACCAAGCCTGCAGTGGTCCCTTAATCCTAGGGATTTGGTAGAAACCTAATGGCTGCTGACACAGATGCCTTCAATGAAACACACACCCCTGGCCCGTGTCTAAAACAACCAGCAAAGTTGGAGAAAATCCTGTAATCAGGAAGGAGAGAAGCGAGAAACTGGAGATGTTATTGGCGTTTGATAACCAGCTAAAGGGAAACCAGAACACGGATGGGTGCATGGCAGAAATCTTGACAACTCAAAATTGAGGAGAGGGAAAAAGAATGAAAGGTCTAGAACGGTAAATACACGCGTTTATGTAACATAGGATTATATACAAAATAAATTGTACAGGTAATTATGACAGGTTGTTCGGGCAGTACCAGGGGTAGATGGCGACCCAGTTTTCCCATAGGCCCTGGTCAAAAGAGGGAGAGAGATATTTTGGTGAATTCCACCACTCCCCAAAACCCTTCTGGGCACAGTTCACCCATCAGCACAGCGGGCGGGGAAGAGGGTTTAGTAAGTGAGGAACCCTCTCGGGGTCATGTCCTTAATTAAGGTTCACACCCTTGCTTCCTCAACTTGCCTCATCTCAGTCCCCATCCTCAAAGCGCACACACCACCCACTTTGATAAAGAACACTCACATTTTTTTTTTTCAAAGTGCAAACACAGAGTAAAGGTGGCTGATTTTCATTCAAGGCCTATCCTTTTTGTACAGAGAAAAATAAATAAGCCATCCTCCACCCAAAAAGCTTCACACAGGTGTGCCTAAATTTCTGACAAAGAACTTGGTTAACTCGCTTGCTTTCTGGAGGCCTACAGAGCTGGCTGAACTTAGCTGTGCGCTTCTGCTTTTTAAGGAAGCCAGTATATAGTAATAGCATGTATTATCCTACTACAGAAATGTAAAGTTTTTAACAGGGGGGAGGGGGAGGCAGAGAATGTCCTTTACACATTTGAAGAATAGAAAAAGCCTCCCAAACCCCAAATATGTTAGAGCTGGAACTATCCTGGG